CAGGAGGTATATAAGCTTCCCATATGTAGTTCGCATCTTGTCAGGGTTCATAATCTTATGTCTACGCCCAAGTTCGAATATTTGTTGATAAAACTCTGCGTTCGATTCGAAGTCGCGGTCCGTGAAAAGTTCCTGCCCTTGCTTGTAATCTGCAGCGAGCATAAGACCTGACATAATGGCGCAGAGCTCCCGGATCTGCTGCACGATCCGCTTTGCCTTGGAAAGCCCGAAGCCAATGGTGTCGATTTTGTCGGTGTACTCGGAAACGTTGAGCGCGGCCTCTAAGAGACGGAGATACTTCCGTTCGGCAAGCGTCAAGCGGAGAGGAATGTACTTTGCGCGGTCAACGAACCATTCGCCGACCTTGGTGCCAATGGCTGGTTGTGCACCGAGTACTTCAGTGGAGGATGGTCCAGCAGATATCCCTTGCCATTCCTCCTCATCGTCAGAGTCGTTTTCGTCATCCTCTTCCACGTCCATCTGTCAAAAGAAGTTCAGTCACACACACGAAAAGAAATCTTGGCCAACCTACGGAATCTTCACTTGCGGCGTCAGGGATGCTCGCCGATGATTTCTCGCCTTGGCCAGGAAGGGGCTTCGATGTATGTTGCTTCCTTGAGCCCTTCCTGTGTTGCGCAGCAAAACACACTTCACAATATGCATCGGAGCACGTTTCGCACAACACCTGAGCAGGCTGATCTTGAGAACATCGGAATCCGTATGTAAGATGATCATGTGCAGATGGGTAGAGGTATAACGGGACTAACCTTCACACTCAATACAAAACCCTTCGGCGGCGTGATTCTCGGGGACTTCCTCATCCCATCCAGTGGGGCTTATTCCATTGCTGAGCGTGCCCGGATGTTCGACCGCTTCGTGGTTGTCACTCAGTATAGTTTCTAGGGAAAATGCAGCTATTGGATTCGCCGGCTTAGAGGCATCCTGGACAACGGAAGGTGAGTCTGCCATCTCCAAGGTGGTGAGGAGGGCGTGGGTCAGGTAATTTATTTTCTGCCGACGCGTCATGTTCACGTGGATCGAGCGCTGATCGATTTCTCAGAGCTCCTCACGCCTTTCCATTTCGGTGGCTCGTAAGGCATGCGGGGTCTTTTTGCGATGTCTGTTTCACGCAAAGCTCGACAGAGTCAGGTTCGTCAATACTTAGTTGGCGGTCAACGAGTGGATTTCGTCTTGAATCCAACCGACTCGAAGCTTCAACGGTTCGAGCTTTGACGATTCGGTTTGACGATTCGGCAGTTGATTAATATCCTGATTCTCGAGCGATTCTTTCTGGCCATCATTCATATTTTGGCACGAATGTTGGAATTATAATTTGTAGGCCGCGGGTCGTGGTTCGAAGTATCATTCTTTCTTTTCACCACTCAGATTACGCTTCCTTTCATTTTTACTTCCTATTGTCTTTTCATCGGAATCTACTAATCTTACAGGTATATAGGTATTATACAATGTTGTAGGCCCTTATCCGTTGCCTCACGAGCTCACCGAGGTCAAACGTCGCCACCTTATCTGTTGTTGATTATCTCTCGTTGATTTGACCTTGGTGATGTTATTTTCAACAACAAAAGCTCCTGAACAAATTTAAATGGTGGAAGTTGGAAGTGATTCTGGTATGATTCTGGGAAAATTCATGCTCAAAATCATATTTTGGATCGTCGGGCGAAGCGACTGCTTTGACCACCCCGATCAATTGTATTTGCAAACACTGGAACTTCCCATTAGGCAAGTAATCAATCACACCGCTAATAAGAAGCTGAAGGTCAGACTAGAGAAAGCGAAATGCCGATGGAGAGAGCTTGGACAGATGAAAAGGCAAAGGCACGGGGAGTTGAATTTAATAACAGGGCTATTAATACAAGAGATGAGAGTGTCAAGTTTCCTGATTAGCGAAACTAAACGTAAAAATATTACTAGACGTAATGTGCTAGATAAGCCTAAAGGCATTGGTATATCGTGTGCAAGTACAACAAATTTCCCGCCCATAAAACGCAAGAAGAAAAAGGTATGTAGTCGTAATGCAAGAGCACAAGTTTTTACGCTTAAGCCTCAGCCTTCTCGTTGTGAGAGACAGAGATCTTCTCCTCGGCGTGAAGAGCATGGCCCAGGACGTTGTCGACAGCTTCCTCTCCGTCGAAGAGGGCGGCAGTCTCCTCGAGAGTGCGGTTCTTGGTCTCGATGAGGACTAGAAAAGGGTACATGAGTAAAAGGATACGAGTGAGGCGGCAGAGGAGAATACTCACAGAAGTACAAGAACACAAGCTCGAAAAGGAGCCAGCAGCAGTAGACAACGTAGTACTTCCACTGGAGGTGGTCGAGGGCGATGGGGTTGACATACTGGTTAAAGATGAGGGAGAGGGAGATGGCGAAGTTGAACACGGAGAAACCCTTGGCACGAAGGTGGAAGGGGAGAATCTCGAGGGTATAAGAGACAATGAGCGGGGAGAAGGCAATGCTGATGGATAATAAGCAAAGGCACAAGAGGATATGACTGGTTGACTTACTCATAGGCAGCGTAGTACAAGAAGATGAACGCAATGACGGAGTGAGCGGCGCCCTGGTTACCGCCAACAATGGAGGGGGTGCCATCGGCGCCGACAACAGTGACAGCGGACTTCTGGAAGACACCAGACATGGCGGTCTGGAGGGTATAGAAAATGACCATGCCAGTGGTGGAGGTCAGGAAGAGCATACGACGACCGATCTTGTCGACGAGAGCGGCAGCAAGGAGAGCCCAGCCCATGTTCCAGATCTGAAGGATACCGTTGATGAGGAGCTGGGTGGTGGGGTTGGTGATGCCGATGCCGTCGAAGACCTTGTTGAGGTAGTAGGAGACGAGACCATTGCCGGACCATTGGGAGAAGAAGGCGAGGGCGACGATGATGCGCATGCGGCGGCGGTTACCAGGGGTGGCGAACAGATGGAGCCAACCGACTTTCTCAGCGACTTCACGATCGAACTCGATAGCAGCCTTGATTTCCTCGTACTCGAAACGGACAAGAGGATCTTGCCTAACAAGGATGTAAGACCGACGCCCGAGTAAAAGCACAACAAACACTTACTCATCACCATCAGCGTGGTAGTAGGCGAGGGTCTTGAGGGCCTGGGCATCCTTGCCCTTGGACACCATCCAACGAGGAGATTCAGGGCAGAACCAGATAAGGCAGACCTGGAGGACGGAAGGGAGAGCCTGAAGGGCGGAGGGGACACGCCACGCCCAGGTGCTGTTGATCTTGAAGGTACCATAGGTGGTCCAGGCAGCGATGATGGCGCCGGAGTACCAGAGGGAGTTGTAGGTGGAGGTCAAGGGAGCACGGTGGGCGGGGTAGGCGATCTCAGTAACCAACATGGGGGCGGAGTTGGCAGCGAAAGTGAGACCGAAACCGATGAGACAACGAGCGCCAATGAACATGCCGACAGACTGGGAAGCGGTCTGGACAGCGGTGGCGATACACATGATCAAGGCACCGATGAAGATGGTGGGACGGCGTCCGAGGCCATCAGAGACGTAGGGGGCAATGGGGTATGCCGCGAGGGAACCAATGTTCTAAAGGCGAATATGGTCAGTCAGAAAACCCTGATATGTGCGCCACAATGTCCATACCTGGATGGCGTTGAGAAGACCGAGCTTTCCACCAGTGGGGTTGTTGAAGTAACCCTTCCACTGGTCCAAGGACTGGAGACCGTTCATCATAGAACCGTCATAACCGTTGGTAGAAGAGGTGATGAGCAGGAGGACGATCCATGCGTTGAGTGTAAGGATACTGGTAGAGGGGATGGGTAAGTAAGTGGAAGGGAGATCAGGGATGAAGAGTGAACACGTACCGCCTGTTGCTGTACCATTTCCTGTTGGGGTCAAGGAACTGGGTGTACGCCGCAGTTCCTCCCGAAGTTGCCACTGCACCTGCACCCATTGCTGTGATCGAGGAATGAGTATATAAATGAGGTGGGAAAGGTAAGGAAAAGCCATGGAGGGGGAATGGGAATTTATAGAAATTAGGGAACTGGCGCCGACCTGGAGACGCGAGGTACGCATCTCATTTTGGTCGTGGCATCCCTAGCACTGTGTGCCTTTTTTCCATCATGGCTAAAATTTGTTCAGCCGGCCCATCAAAACAGATCTTTTTTTGCGTTCTTCCCCTTGCTCGGCCGTCCCCATTCGAGCCTGGAAATTCTGGGTAAAATGTTCCCCATGGCACTTTCCCCACCCCCATCCCACAAGCCCCTGAGCAAATGTTGCCTGAGCAGCGGCCCGGCCCAAGACCGCTCGAGGAAAACAAGCTATGGTGGCGGTACCTTTTACTCCTAATAGCACGGTCGCTATTGCAAGCGGTCCCGTAAAGGCCTTTCAATGTCTCCTATCTTGGGGGGCCTGATGAATTTCTATTGGTACCGACGTTGGTTGGTGATTCCATTTGTCCATCTTCAAGCCTAGATACTGAAACCGACAATTCTGGATCCGTGTAGGTAGTCTGGACATTTCTCGGGGTTTCGTCCATTCTCAAGTACCAAATCTATGTAGAGCGGCGAAACCATCAATTTTGGGCTCGAAGTGGCTTTTAGAAAGTCTATTTCAAATAAATAAATGCAGCCAATAATCTTGACCACATGGCCGATTCTTTGCCGACTCTCCTCAACTGATGGCAGCTATTCTGATGGGCTGGCTGGTATTGAGAAAAGAGTTTTCAATTTTTGAACCAAATACATATCTGGTAGAGGTCATTTTTGCGTCGCTGTCTGGACAGGTCGGTCTGGTGTCTTTTCGCCGTAAAAATTCCATTGGGCGTCGGCCTCCTTGGTAGTGCCGACAATCGACCGCTTCCAGGCCCAGGTCCCTCGGTTGCCCCAAGGAATGTATGATCAAGATCCCGACACTTTATGACAGAAAACATTGCTTAGAGTTTTACCTTGGTATCTCCGGGTGCGGAAAACGTACCCAGATACGAATACAACATCTCAACGTTTGGTAGAAATAAGGAATATATGCCCCCGTTGTCTAATGGTTATGACGTCAGACTTCTACACTTTGGTGTTATCTGGAGGTTGCGGGTTCGAGTCCCGCCGGGGGTTCTTTCCATTTGCACTTGAATACTCTTTTGTTCTGCTGATCTCTCTAGTTGTTGCATGATTGGCACCCGGTTACTGGCAATGGCCCAACTGAAGGAGATTGTGTGCGCCACAGTTTGAGTTTGTAGATGAATAAAAGAACATGCAGATAACAATACATTGCAGGTATATGACGACGCGGTATAAGGTGATTGCAGGCAATAATTGGAGAATAAGGTTGGATCCATTAGGAGGCTATTTCCGTGCTCGTAATTGTGCTCTCAGGAGTCCGTTTTCCTTCTGCATCGAGTTTAACTCGTCCAGAAGTGCAATCCTCTGGGATTGCTCAGAAGTCCGCATAGCTTCGACCTCGTCTTGTGCCGCCTCAAGTGCTGATCGAGTCTCCATCAACTGCCCTTCCAATTGCTTACGCACTATCTCAGGGGCGGACGCAGCCTCCTCCGCAAGCGTCAGTGTCCGGGCGCTCAATGTGTTGTTGGCTTCCGTCAACTGCGCACACGTCTCCGCCTGTTCAGCAGCCAGCATCTCCACCTCCCGCTTCTCGTTCTCGATGCGTTCCAAAGCGGTCTGAAGGTGCTGTGCCTCTTCCATTCTGCATATGCAATACAGTTGTCAGAAACAGAGGCTCATTGAAAAATAAAGGACCGGGCACTTACAGAGCAGCCTGCTTCGCAGCCATCGTCATGTTCCTCTCCTCCAGGATTCGGACTTGTTTTTGGTAGGTTTCTAGAGCTGTATTGCCTTCCTGCGCCAGTTTCTGTGCGCGTTCAGCATTTTTCTTGAGCAGATCATGTGCCTGCGCAAACCGCAAGAGACGCTCGATTAACGCACGGTCATCCTGAATGAGTGCTTGAACGCGTGCTGCAAAGGCCTCAATCGAGAATTCGCCAAAGCCAACGCTGGGTGACATGGGCTGCCGTGTCGAGTCGTACAGTGACTTGAGCGAGCGCACATCCAGCTCGGAAAGTGACGACACAGTTTTGGTGAAACCCGGACTCTGTGACGCCGTGGGCGAACCTGTGCGGTATGTTCCCGATCGGTTGAATTTCGCAGCACGGGCCTCGGGCGATGGAAGAACATTCCAAAGAGGTGTAAGAATTTGTAAGATGCGCCCAGCGGAGTCACCAGATGGAGAAACAGGCGAGTCGCGTGTTTGACTCTGAATGGCCTGCTGATCTTCGTTTCTTGTATCCTTATCCTTGATGCTCGCCCGCTCAGATGCCGTACGAGCGTCTTGCCTCGCCTCATCACGCTCGCGACGAGCCTGCTCAAGGTCCCGGGCGAGGGCTTCCCGTTTGTCCAAACCAGCCCGAACATCCTCTTCGATTTTTCTTCTGACGTCGTTCCACTCGTTCTCTGTACGAGTGTGGGATTCCAGTTTGCCATGTACAGTCTCCAAATGGGTGCCGACAGATGATAGGAGCCCCTGCAGTGACGAATCTCGGGAAAAAAGAACGATACCATGATGCTTGACCAGAGAACGCAGTGAAGAGATAAATGAGTCGAGTTCTCCATGCGCTTGCTGCAGAGCTCGTTCATTATCGTCTCGGGCGCTATCCATTTCCTCCTGCAACCGAGCCAAGTCCTCCATTTTCTCATCCTCAAGTTCGTTCTTCCGCCGACCCCATACATCTCTCTCTGCCTGCCACTGAGTTTTTATCCGTAGGATCTCCTCGTCCTTCTCCTGCAAAAGCCTGCGACCTTCAGCAGATTCCTTTTCAGAACCAGCTGAGCGACTCTCTCCCATCTCCTGAACTTTCGCAGCTTCTTCTTCTAGCCTCGTCTTCTCTTCTAGCCAGATCTTCTTTTCTGCCTGCAACGCCTGCACTGCGGCATCCAGCTCCTCCAGCATCGAAGTCTCCTCCTGTAGCTCCTTGATCGTGTCCTCCGCACTCTGCAAATCCAAGCTCATCATCGTCTCCACCTCCTCCTTCTCCAATTTCATCATCGTCAGCTCCCTGGACAGTTCCGCTTGTTTCCTACTCGCAGCCGTCAACGACTCCGTGGCTGCCTTCAGCTTCTCCTCCAGGGAGGTGATCTCTGCAGCCGCTGCATCGCTTGAAAGCTGCCGTCGAGGAATCACGGCATCCACATGTCCAGCAAAAAGGTGGCGGCCGTCAAAACGTGCTTTGGTTGACGATGAAACGCCCGTCATGCTGGATGATGCTGGGCTCATCAGTGTGCTCCGATTGGACGAATCGTATCCCGAATCCTCCCCAGCACCGTTCCCTGCCCCCTGTAGCGCGGTCTTCTCCAGATTCCGCACGGAATAAGACAATACCCCCGCGCGATGCTCGAGCAGACGGCGATGCACCTCATGTGCCCGTTCTGATATCCGCCAGAGTTCTTGCTGAGCAGTGTCCACTCGGCCATTGGCAGACGCAAGCTGGTCTTCGGTTTGTTTGGAGACTTTCTTTGTAGCAGCGTTCATTTTGGAAAGGGAGACGGCGGCGTCGCGCATCTTTGTCTCGAGCGTCAGCTTCCTGGACATGGCTTCACGCCGAATGGACAGGACTTCGTGTTCCTGAAAGTAATATAACTCGTATTTGAGGTGTCAAATTAAGAAAGTAGGAATCGTACCTTGTTCAATTCGTCAATCTGTTCAGAGCTTAGAATGTCAAAATTGCGGCTATCGACGACTGCCTGCGAGGCCAAGAGACTGAGGAGAAGTTCATCTCTGGTGGTCGTGACCCCTGAAACGCTGCTCGCGCCAGAGCTACGTTTATCTGAGAGAGTTTTTTGCGACTGAGTAACTAGTTTGCGGAGAGTCAGACCCTTCGCTGGTTGTACTGGGGACGACGAGGGTGATGGGGAATCCGCGTATGGGCGACGAGTGGAGTCAGAGATAGAATACTGATCGTCTGGCGGTGGTGTTGGTTGGAAACGTTGAAGCCCTGATTCTGGTTTGATTGTAAGGGCGGGGGTAGGTGGTGTTGCGGTAATTGGCGACTGTGGAGGCCATGAGGGGCCGTTGGTGGACTTTGGGTTGAATGAAGAGGGTGGGTCCACTACAGCAGACTGGGGTGGCGTACTGGTGGACGGGTTGGCGCCACCAAGAAACCTGCGGACGCCGTTCATGGCTCTGGTAGAGAACACAACAGGAGAAAGTCAGATGTGACCCTAACCCTAACCTCAGTCCCTGTTTACCTCTGCCGCGCCGAGCTGCCGTCGCGGCTCGCATTCCTGCTCCTCGTTCATGTCCTCCTCTTGAAGCTCATGTCCTTCACATTCAACTGGCCTCGTTTCTCAGACCAGTTCCACTACGATGCCATCCAAATGCTCAATACGGCCCTTAACAAGGGCAACAAGCCCCCCATCATAGCCGACCGCATTGAAGTCGTTGAGCTTGAGATGGGAACCCAGGTAACGAATTCCTTTCATGGATGTTCTCCGTGTAAATGACACTTTATAGCCTCCAGAGTTGGAGATTCGTGACATCGGTGACCTGACCGTTGATCAATTTCGAGGGATTTTTCGTCTCACATACTCTGGTGATGCTCATCTCGTTTTAAAAACCAAGGTTCAGGTACGAGCTCAGAGTTCTGCTTCTGCTTTACTTGAGTATTTAATCTCACAACCAGGCAAATCCTTTGAATCATAAACAACCTGACATCCATCTCATGGGTGGTTCTCGAGGCATGCTTGCAGCGAAACAGCCCCTTGTCGTCCCTATGCTTCTTCGTCTGTCACACTTCAAGCTCAACTCATACGTTGTCCTTGTCGTCTCTAAACAAAAGGGCATCACTCTCGTCTTTAAGACAGATCCCCTACAGAATGTCGATATCAATAGCACTTTCGACTCCATCGCCGTCATTCAAAAATTCATACAGCGCGAGATTGAGGGCCAGCTACGTCAGATGTTTCGCGAAGACCTCCCTGGAATTATTCATCGTCTCAGCCAGCAATGGGTAAAAGCCAAGGTCGAGGCTCCATATCTCCAGAAAAACCTGCCTCCGCCTGCCAACCGACAGACATTTGACGCACGCTCTTCCACTGGAAATTCATTCAGAAATATGCCATCTACTCCTATTATGGACGGTGCCCTTCCACGGCGTCCTCAATCTGCCGCTGGAAGTTTCTCATACCCCCAACGACCGCGGTCAACATCTGGTTATTCCTCGAGGTCTGCGCCCAAATCCAAATCACCAACACCACCTCCACCGTCTTTCCCTCCTGAACCCGTTTCTTTCCCTGATCTTGAGAACTTTGACCCAACGTATGGCCTGCGTCCTGAAGGTCTCCCCACGAAAAGTGTATTCCGTGGTTTTGGCAACCTGTTTACGGCGAACAAAGGTCTCGCCGATCTTACGGAGGACTCGGAAGAAGAAGAGGATTCGTTGGATGATGATGACGGCGCAGCTTCGTTTGATATGGTCAACTGGGAATACACGGTTCCAGTTTCCAATACGAGCATCTATAACGATGCGCAGGAGAGTGTGGTGCCAGAGTCCGATTATGAGACCATACCAGCCGTGGGTGGGGGCACCATCACGCGACCTCGAATATATCACTCGCAGTCCATGATTCAAACCCCCGGCCAATCTAACGCGACTGCTTCCTCTTCAAAACGCCACAATTCGTATGGGTTCATGTCTCATCCACGGTCTGGATTCACCACACCTGGTCTCCTTCCAAGGCATTCGGCGGGGCTGAGTTCTTATTTCGGCGGAAGTTCAACTGGATTCCATACAGCACCGCCATTTAGCTCGACACCAGGTAGGCCAGTCACGCCCGACAGCGTCGAAACACATCCCTCAAGGTCAAGCAGTGATCGTGGCCTAACGACATCCACTCCTCCCACCGAGCACGTGCCAAACGAAAATGAATACCTACACGATCCCGCGATATACATGCGTTCTCGTGCTCCCTCAACCACCGGCATCTCATCTCGCCGCCCCTCCATTTCCTCCGCCTCCAACTACAACCAAATCTCACCCTCCACATCACCTTCAGCCTCAAATCACAATCCCAAGATTGTCCTCCAGAACAACACCATCCACCAG